TATTTTTTTAGTGTGAATGGGCCTAAGAATGTATATTAATTAAATATTATATGTTATCGCATATGCCATATGTCATGTATGTAAATAAATAAAATCCTGTAGTTATAACAAAGATGGAAATAAATTGAAATTGAAAAATTAAATATTATTAATGCCTTGTGTTCAATGTAAACTGATACGGATTGATTGTCTGTAAATTTTTGTGACAAATTATAAATTTGTATATTGATAAAGAATGAAGAAGAATAAATGAAGAATGCTGTATGCAACAAATATATGATCTATGATCTGTTCTATGTTCATCAAGCTTTCTGTGTGCTATTTCAGTTGTTCTTTCTAGAATATCTTGGCGGTCATTTTTTTTTTTTTTTTTTTTTTTTTTTTTTTTTTAAGATGTTTTATCAACTTTTAACTAACCATAATTTATGAGACTACGACCAGTTTGTAGGACTTTTGTGGTTTTGGCCAAGCCAAGAGACAGTTGTGGCTGCTGCTGTTGCTATGGTTGTTGTTGTTGTGGTTGTTGTTGCTGTTGTTGTTCCGGCAGCGTGACCATGTCTTAAGCTATTTTTAAATGTGCTTGAGCGCAAAGTTTGTGACAAATTTTTGGCTAACATCATTTGCCTGTTAACTGTAAAACTGTGAAATAGTAAAATTGCCAAATTGTAAAAGTGTAAACTGTAAGCTGAATGCGACAGTTGACAAGGCGGGCTTGTAATGATAGCCAGAAAGTTGTAAGTGCCAATGGCTTTTTAATGAAGCAGCAGCAGCAGCAACAGCAGCAGCTTCTTCTTCTTCTTCTTCTATTTTTCTAGTGGTGCAAACAAATTTGTTGGCTGTGTTTGACTTTAAGTGGAGACGCAGCTTTAAACTAGACTCGTTTTGGTCATATTTTCAACACGGTTGCAAACATAAATAACAGGACAAACTTTTCAATAAATAAAATTAAAAACTTTTCGCTTTTTTTTTCGTCTTGTTTTGGTCAAAAGTTGGTCGCCAGGCGGTGCCAGTTGTGCAAGCAAACAAAGCGAGTGACAGAGACAGAGATAGATAGAGAGGAGAAGAGAGACTCGAGCACAGACGGACAGAGCTAGATGATTGGGTTGGGGTTAAGGGGAGCGGCAAACAAACGTCAATTGACCGTAAAAATGTATATGTATAAAGCAGTTAAGACCGTCGAGAAGCCGATGAGACTGAGACTGAGGCAGAAGACGAGGCTGAGGCTCAGGCAGAGACAGAGGCTGTAACTGAAGCGCTTGAGGTTGGCAAAACAATCACCTGTGCAGCAGCCGGCCGAAGTTGGTCAGTTTTTGGTACCAGGAATTTCATTTGCCGCAAATAGAAAGAAGCAGAAACAGAAGGAGAAGAACGAAAAAAAAAAAACAAACAAACTTTGCAGCCAATCAGTTGAGCAACTGCGTCAACTGAGCGCGGATCGATGGCCACTGGGACGATGTGAGGCGCGTCGCGGGGCGACTAAATCAACTGAAAGTTGGTGCGAAGAAAAACAAAATCAGATTGCTAAGTGAGCGCAGAGCTGGGGGCAGAGAGCAAAGCGAGCAGGAGGGGAACGCAGACGGAAGCGGTGAGGCGGCGGGCTATAGCTGTGTGAAGTGCGCAAAATGAATTGGTCAAGTGGAAAAAATTGGCAACGCGTGAGACGAAAAGACAGAAGGAGAAAAGGGAGAGAGAGAGAGAGAGAGACAAACAGAGAATCAGAGAGACAGAGAGAGAGAGAGCGAGGAAACTAGGATGGGGTGGGTTGGGGGGTGTCGAAAAGTATTGAAATACATTTAATGAAAAAGTTAGACGAGGTCGCGTCGATAGCAAGTATGTTGCAGGAGGAGGAGCGGACCGAGGAGCAGGAGAAGCAGAAGAAAACGTGGACGAAGCAATTGAGCAAACACAGCAAAGTTGATGTGATTTTGCTGTAAGCAACAACAACAACAACAACATCAACAACAACAAGTGAGCACTGCTAAACACTGATTGCGTTTTAATGCCAGTTATGGATGAATAGATGAGCACAAAGAACAGAAAATTGTATCAGTGTAAGTGCGTATGTCTGTGCCTGTGTGTGTGTGTGTGTGTGAGTGAACAACTTTTTTCCCTAAGCTTAAAAAGGAAACGAAATTTTATGAACGTACATCAAGTAGAAAAGTTGCATTTATTAAGAAAAATATATTCGGATCGAGTCTATAGATATATAAAAAATTGCAATATCATAAAAAATACGAAAAAATATTAACAAAATAAATTACCAAATCAAATGAGTGCTGAATCGACTGTGTTTGAGGAAGCTTTTGTAATGAAAGTCGTTATTGCGATCCGTAAGTCTCATAAAAAATGTATTTAAGAGTATACAAATATTCGTACAGCGACATGAAATGTATAACTATCCTTATGATCATTAAATCTCGATGGCTGAAGCACTTTTTTTTTTTTTTTATTCCAGCCCACATCTTTCTAGTCTCAATCTATGCCTTTTTAGATCTCAGTTGCTGATATTGATATTTTTGTCGTAAATGTCTATATAAAATGCGCTGATCGCATAATCGATTACTATTACAGTTCTAATGTTATCGATTAAATCACATCTCACATCTTTGGAGCTACAAACTTTGCATTTAGAGTCAAACAAATTTGATTGTGTCATAATCTGAAATCCGTAAGTAACTTTCGTTAGTGGGTTTTTACATTTTCAAATTATTATTATTTTTTTTTTAATTTTTCAAAATTTCTGTTTCCTTGTCTCTATAAAACAAATATCATGGCCGCGCTTGTGATTTTGTTAATTCGTGTCAGCTTATGCATATTTTTATTGCTGAATGGAGGTAAGCCATAAATGTGTGTATGTTAGGGCGTATTGTATCTATGTTTCTGTATTTACATTTTGATCTTTTATTTTTCAAAGTCGAAGCCGGCAGACAAGCTAGAATTTCTGGAGGGGAAGAAGTCAGCATTAAGGATGTTCCCTATATGGGCACGCTGCGTAAACTCCAAAATGAATCAATGTCAGCTGGCAGCGGATTTATTTGTGTTGCAACTGCTATTCAGAATCGTGTGCTCATCACAACAGCTTTTTGTATATATAGGTGGGTATAGCTGAGTGAATCTGTTTGCCGTTATTCTGAAACTATTTTCTGCAGGCAAACGCGAGAAAATATAGTGGCTGTAATAGGGAATACGTACATAAGAGGCTTAAGTCCAACGATGAAAGTGCTGAAAATCGCAGATTGGCGATGGCATGGCTTGTATAAATATAACGAATGGGCTTACGATATTGCATTGGTCTTTACTTCTCAAGATATAGTACCCGTTAAAGGAGTCATTGAATATCTACCTATTACCCAAGGAGTATTTCGACCGAATACCAGATGCATATTTTGCAGTTGGGGTGCAGATACTACTGTAAGTCAATCGATAATTGTATTCTATAGACATATGTATATTTGTATAGATAACTAACTATATATTAATTATTTTTGTATTAATAATTAATGATATATTAGTTGGGTATAAATAACTGACTATAAATCAGTTACTTAAGTATCGATAACAAACTTTATACCAATTTATTTCTGTACCGATAACTATTTATAAGTTACTCGTATATCGATAACGAACTATATATATGAGTTTTTACGTGTATCAATCAATATTAGTTAATGGTGTATCGATAACGTACTGAATATTAGTTACTTCAATATCGATTACTAACTATATAATAGTTACTTGAGTATCGATAACTAACTATATGTGAGTAACGTGTGTATCGATCATTAATCGATTGCCTTTTCCGACTTTAGGCTGCCGTCTTGCATAATGCTCCTTATATTGCACTAAGACGGACTACCAGCAAAATGGAGTGTTATAAGCGCTCTCTTGCAGCGGGTGTGATGTGCACCTACGACTTGGCGCGAGTCGTTGATATAAACAGATTTGACCTAGGTGGCCCATTGAAATGCAACAATACACTTGCGGGTGTCCTCCTCGGAAACACTAGCGACGAATATATGCTGTTCACCGATATATATATGTTTAGAAAATGGATAAACGCGGGCATTTACATGCATTTCAACGGAATTGTGGCACTACGAGCGAGTTGCTTTCAGTGGCACGTGGCTGTGGCCATTGCCGTTTACTTGATCATCAGCTGACAGTCTGGATGACATATACACGACTTTGATTTTAAATTTGTATTAAAATTTACCTGCTGTACTTCACTGTACCTGTAACTAAGCCCCTGAAAGTCCTTGCAGGGCAGCACTGAGAAGTGTTTCTCAGAAGTATTTAGGGAGCTGCACATAAATTTCATGCATTCAAGCCGATGTTGTTGGTGCAGCGTAATCTTCTCCTGCTTCAGCTGCTCCTCAGCTGGTTTTGTGGTTGCAATAGTTTTTGAGTTTTCAGATTTTCTTTTGGGGCACAATGCAAATGTTCGGGCGATTTATCGGCGGCGTTCAGAGCTCAGTTCGCAATCAGAAAGCGCAGCGCGAAAAAAAAAACATCAAGGGAAAACAAAAAAGTATAAAAAACAAAGTAAAAGTAAAAAAAAAAAATTACAATTGAAAAGTTTTGCAATACGCGACGCGGGCTGCGTTGCAGTTTCATATCAAACTTTGGCTATTGTATTTTCATGTGTCTTCGGGCCGACTCCCTCTTTGTCTTTTCGCTTTGCCGCTGATAACGCGGCCAGTGGCTCACAGCGAGAGGGGGCGGGATGCGCGGGGGCGTGGCTGGCAAAGAGGCGTCGACGCAGCGTCAGCCAAATGCACTTTTCGGAGTTATCAAAGAGTTTAAATTGCATTGCCAAGCACAATGTGAAGCTCAAATGGGGGCAGAGCGACAGAGAGAGACAGAGGGGGAGTGTGAGTGAGAGAGCACAATTTGAAGCGCATTATCCTATGGCTCAGACACCGGCGCGTTGCATACAAAAGACAAAAGTCAAAACTTGGGCTGCTCAGACGAGAAAAAACAAAAAGAGAAGCTAAATGCAGCGCAGCAACTGCGACGCGGCAGCGCTGCTGCTGGCAGCGTCTGTTTATCTTGTAAGGTAAATCATTCGAGACTGAAAGTCAAACAGCAGCCAAAGCAATAGCAGCCAGATTTAGGCAGCTGGGGAGGAGCAGCTCCAGATGGGAGTAAGGAGCAGCAGAGCCAGCAGAGCCAGCAGAGGCAGCAGGCACCAGGAGGCAGGAGTCACCTGGTTGCTCCTGCATGCCGGTGAAASTTTTCAAAGTAGTTGAGACGACAAAGGCGGGAATTGAATTTAAACAATAGCCGTTGTCACGGGACTCAAAACTCGGAGCTGAAATGCCGCAGCGAAAGCTTTCGCAGTTGCATGCTCCGGCTTCGGCTGCGGCAGCGGCTGCGTCCTTGCCGCAATGCGTCGAATGTCCTGTCAGGCATCTAGCAGAGGCCTGCAAATTAGTCGCATATTAAAAATGTTTGGCCAAACAAAGATGAGCCAGGGTGAATCCCATGTGCTCTGGCCAGCATCTTATCTTTGGCCACACAATCGAGAGGGCGTCTGGGATGGGGCGTGGCGTGGTATAAAGTTTTGCTGCTGCTGCTGCGCTGCCAGCAAATGAGAAAAGTTTAAATGACGCGCTGCAGTTGGCAAATGGCAAGCAGTTAAAAATGAGAGTATCTACATGCCAAGAGCGCAAGGAGCTGCCACTCCAGCCACTCCTGCCACTCCTGCCACTCCCGCTGCAGCTGCCCCATTTATTATCAACAGAGAGCAGAGCAGAGAGCTTAACCAAAAGTCTGGTTCGGGCGAGCGGGTCAGCCAAGCGGTTACAAGCTGATAAGTAATGATACCCTATCACATGATACTCTATCAAAGATGGAGCTGGGGAGGGGAAATGCAAATGCAAATGAAAATGGAAATGCGAATGCGAATGAGAATGGAAATGGAAATAGAAATGGAGATTCATATGCTAACAGCTTCTTTAGCTGCATTTGTTGAACTCTGTCGAAGGGTGAAAACAATTATTAGCAAATTATCTTAAGGCCTGAGGGTTAACAGAATATTTCGGATGAGTTGGTTAGGGAGTCTGTCTGTGGTACTGCTTTTATATATTTATGAAATATTTGAGTGTATAATGAAGTTTACTTCGAATGAAATAAGAAGTTCCTTATGAGCAGTGGATTTACTAAAGATTTCTTGAATTTTCCACTTAGAGAGAGTTTTTTAATGTCTTATCAAATGTTACATAAGTACTTGAAATATAAAACTGTCTTTGTCTCTGACCTTATTTCTGTCCCTACTGCTCTTTTAATTTTCTTTCTCCGGCTTTCCTTTTCTATTTCTCTTTATCACTCAATTATTATATCGTTCTTTCTCTCTCTTTCTATATCTGTCACCCTCTGTCTCTCTTTGTTTCTGTCCCTTTCACACTCCTTCTCACCCTTTACCTGTTTCTTTTCCTCTTCTGTGTCTTTCTTTCTGCCTTTCTTACTTTTGGTCTCTCTGTCGCTCTTTGTCTGCCTATCTCTGACTTTTTGAATCTTTCTTCCCCTCTCTTTCTCCCCCTTTCCCACTCTCTCTCTCTCTCTCTCTCTTTCTACCCATCTTCCTCTACCTGCATCTCTGCCTCTGCGCTTTCGTTTTCTATATTTCTATCTGTCTCTTCCGTTATCTCTATTCCTCGCAGCCCTCTCTCTCTCTCTACCTTCCTTTCCTTGCTTAGCATATTTCTCCAATATTGCTTGCATACTATTCATAAACTATGAATCGAAGATGCTTATAAAGTGGGTTTCAAACAGTTGTTCTTCCTCGTCTCCATTCCCGTCCCCGACTCCGTTCAATATATGATCTATGTATTATTTAGTTTTGGACACTTTTCTACCGACCCTGTCAAATGTGAGCCACATGGCTGTCAACACAAACTCCAGACTTTACTCCGCTCTCTCCTGCGTCTTGTCAAGCTCTTCTGGCTCGAGTTCTGTTTACTTAAAGCCAAAAACCGTAGAAGGAAAATGGTCGCAGTTTTAAAATATGTCACGTGCTGTGCAATGTCCGTCGCCAAGTTGCCAATAAGTGAAGGGACACATGTTCCACAATTCGTATAGCCCGGGGATGTATTCTCCTCTGTCACTCTCTCTCTCTCTATCTGTCTCGTTCCTTCTCTGTCTCCTTTTCGTCGCCCACAAAACTTGTCACTTTTTACGCGCAGCTGCAGTTTATTTTAAGATTGGCCGCGCACTTTGTCGCCTTGTTTTGGCATCATTGACGCTTGGCTTACTTTGCAACCTCGCCCTGGCACGCCCCCGCACCTGCCTGTGTCCTTTTTCTGGGCAGAAAGTTTTTTGCACCGCGGCGGCGGGTCGCCCTATGCTTTCTCCCTTGACGTTCTTAACACTTGTCGCTACTTTTTAGCTATTTTGATTTTTGAGAAACAAAAACTGAAAACTTTTGTTGCTGATTTCTTTTGCAATTTGTCGCGCGTGTGAGCGAGACAGCCGGAGATAGAGTGAGACCGAGAGACAGAGAGGGAGAGCGAGAAGGAGAACAGTAGTTGGCATGGTTCCATCATGTGCGAAATAAGTTTCACACTTAACGACATAACAAGTTTTGAAGCAGGACGCTGACATCCTTGTCCTGGGCTGTCAACGCGTTTAGTTTCTGTGTCTTTTCTTTTTTCTTTTTTTTTTTTTTTAGGTCATTTCATCAAGTGTTATTAGCCAGGGCTGGCAAACTATTTGAACGAGTTTACAAATGTTGTTTAAAAATGTTTGCCAACAAACTCGTATTAATTTCACAGGAATTCGAGTATTTACTTCTTATTAAAAAGAACTAGTTCAATAGATCATGTCTTTGTTCAGTTGCCAGCCCTGGCCATCATAACTGTAAGTGTTTTTGGTCACATTGTGGGCGCGCATTCTGTCTAATGAATATGGCCGCCATTTCGTGCATTCAACAAGGGGTTGGGCCAAGGGTCGCTCGTTCGGTCATCAACGAGCGCGCGCAATATATAATTTAATTTCATGCATTGCCTGGCTAATGCGCTTTCGCGCTTAAAAGTACGCCATAAGTAAGGAAAGTGCGCAAATGTGCTTAAAAAAAAAGAATATATATACATATATATGTATATGTATTTTTATATAAAAGTTTGGCTGACACTGAGAGTGAGCTGGCTCTGCTGCTAGTGTCGCAAGGCAGCGGCCTGGAAACAATGCGCGACATTCAGGCGACATTGTTGCCAAAGCTTTTTACAACTCACATGAGTCCCTCTCCCTCTTGCTCCTATACAAAATCCACACTACGCGCCCCACTTCCCTTCTTCCCATCACTCATTTACAAAGTCTACACTACCCAGCCCACTGCGCTCCCGCACTCTTATACAAAATCTACGCTCTGCCCATTCCACTGCTCTCTTATTGTCATTTGTTTGCGCCGCAGCAGTTGTAGCATATTATCTAAATGTGTTGCATGCGTGTTGGTGTGCCAGGGTGTATGTGTGTGTGTGCGTTTGGTTCAGCTTTCTATGATTTGTTGTTGTAATGTGCTTTAATGTGAAAAGTTTTTAATGCTTAAGCAGCGCGTCGCTGTCTCTCTCCAGCTTAAGCCAAAAAAGCTAAAGAGCGGGCGGGGAGAGGTGACACAGATGAAGACGGCACTCATATAGCCACTCACACACACACACACACACACACACATACACACACACATACATACACTCGCAGTTATTTTCTTTGCTCAGTTCGCTTCTTGCTGCGTTAGTTGGCAACTTTTATTTGTGGTTTTTTTTATGTAAATGCGCCCAAGTGATAAGGCAACTTTTCGGCTACTGCAGCGAGCATTGCGGTGGGCGGGACTGGGGCAGGGGCAAGGGCACGGCTGACAACGGGCAGCGGGAGCAAAGGGAAAGAGAGCGACTGTTGCTGTCATGTATCTAAGAGCAGCAACATGAACATGTTGCCAAATGCCATTCCTGTTGCCGTTGTTGTCGCCCGCTGTCGTTGCTGCTGTTGCTGTTGTTGTTGTTATTGTTGCTTGGAAATTAAATTTCAGTGACTTTGTTGTTTATTTGCAGCATGGGAGTTGGCATAGAACCAGTGCACTCAAAGGGTATTCCGACTTTCCTATTGACTAGGCAACAAAATTGAACAAATTGCCAAAAATGCTTTGTATAAGACTTTGGACATCAATTCGCCTGTTTGTACTCTTATAAAAACTCTTAGAAATAGTCATGTTGGCTTGCTTTATTA